CACAGTCGTCCCCCACTCACCACTTCAAGCTTCTCCAGGGGCTCCACCTACCCGGTCCTGATTTATTTCCACCTCTGCTGCTGTCTCCCCAGGCCCGGTCTCCCCTGCAGCTCCCAAGGCCAGGGGCCCTGTGTCTGGCCACAGGGGGTGTTCGACACATGGTCACTCACAGAAGGAGGAAGGCCTAGTTCCTGCTGGGCTCCACGCCAGGCAGGGTGCCCAGGAGGCCTCGGGGGCATTCAGCAGGGGGGGCCGCCTTCCTGGGCTGTACCCTACTGGGTGCTGCGAGGGAGGGTAAGGCTGGCTCTGGCCTGAAGGTATAAACACCAGGGAGCCAAGTAATGCCAGGACGGGCGCCCCGCCGAGCACGCGCTGCCGAGTGAGCACTGTTTGTGTCTTACCCGCTCCGAATCTTTTTTTAAAATATATTTTTATTGATTTCAGAGAGGAAGGGAGAGGGAGAGAGAGAGAGAAACATCAATGATGAGAGAGGATCATTGATTGGCTGCCCCCTGCACGCCCCCTACTGGGGATCGAGTCCGAAACCCAGGCATGTGCCCTTGACTGGGATGGAACCTGGGACCCTTCAGTCCGAAGGCCAATGCTCTATCCACTGAGCAAAACCAGCTAGGGCCCCACTCTGAATCTTTGCAGCCACCTTGGTTTGCCCATTTGACAGATGGGGAAACTGAGACTCAGAAGTAGTGAGCCCCCTAAAACTCCTCAGAGAGTGGGCATCCGGGCCCAGATTCACACTCCAGCCAGCTGGCCCCACAGCCAGCTGTGAGCCGCCCACAGCGCATGGGGGCAGGGCTGCCTCTCCCCTCCCTCTTCACGCTGGACTCAGGGCCTGAGGACAACCCTGTGAGGCCCAAAAGGCAAAGGAGAGGAGAGGCCACCAGCTGGCACTGTGGACAGGGCAGGACTCACCTAGGCCCTCAACTCCTCCTCCACGGGAGGCGCCCTGCAGGAGCGCAACAATGAAGTGCAGTGGGAGTCACCGCCTGGCCTCCAGCTCGGCTGCAAATAGCTCTGCGTGGGCAGAGGGAGAAGAGAGCCAGCTCGTCCCCTCCTGCCCTGCGCCAGAGCTCCGTGTGCCCCTGGCCGCTCACCCCTCGGCCTGTGCTGGGCAGGGGAGAAGAAGCACGACCTTGCAGGGTACCCCCGGGCCCAGGCACCGGGCTTCATTATAGCAACATGCCCAACAGCCCTGGAAGTGTCCCCCCCAGAGAGCCAGAGCTGGAGGCCCTTTCTCACTGGAGGCGACGTGACCAGGCAGAGCTGGATTCCAGCCAGATCGGTGTGACCCACAGCGCAGTGGTCACCAGGAAGCCCTATTGTCCGCAGGGGTCAGGGGTCACCCAGCAGAAGATGGGGGAGGCTGTGGGCAGCCCAGATCACCATCTGGAGCTCCTGGCTCCAGGCAGACCTGCAGAAGGCGCCCTGCAACCTGCCTGCCACCTCCTGCAGGGAGCCCCACTCGGCCTGAGCCTCCAGGGGGGTCCTGCTGCAGCCTGGCTCTGAGGCCACACATGGTGGCCCTGGGGGTGGTGGCCCCTGGCTGCACCCCAGGATCCCTCCAGCTGCCTGCTGACTCAGTCTCAGTCCGGAAGGCAGGCCGGGCAGGGCTGCCTGTCCTTGTAGGACCCTGAGATGCAGAGAGGGATGGTGACTCAATCAGGGTCGCCCCGAGCAGGTGCAGAGCTGGAACAGGTATCCCAGGGGATGGCCTTGAGGCGGGGGCCTCAGCCTGCCCCCCCAAAGGCCTTCCAGAGGACGTCTTCGCCTGTCTGAGACATTCACAGGATGTCCTTTTCCTGGTCCCATCTGGCTGCAGTGTGGGCAGGGCAGTAGGAAATGAGTGACAGAGAGTGGGAGGAGAGGAAGGCTGGTGGCAGGAACGGGAGCTCTGAGGGTCAGCTCCCAAGGATTGGCCTGACGTGTGCGCGCATGCGTGCGTGTGTGTGTGTGTGTGTGTGTGTTGTGTGTGTGTGTGATGTGTGTGGGGGTGCACGTAGAGTCCTCTGGCTCAGTATGGCCTGCCCACTGCCTGACTCCCCGAGCAGGACCCACAAGGTTCTCAGGAGTTTTCGGTCAGGTGTGGGGTGCTTTTCGAGTAAGGACAGGGAGAGGAAACAGAGGGGGTGGGGAAGGAGGAAGAGGTGCAAGGAATGCTAAGAGCTGCTGGGTCACCATGTGACCACCTTGCACAAGGTATGAGAGCACTAGTCACAATTCTCCAACGTGATTGGTCCCTGAATTGGACAAGCCTACCCTGCGGGCCACGAGAGGTGTGGGGAGAGGAGAGGGGGAGGGAGAGCAAGGGGAGAGAAGAAGAGCAGTGAGAGGACTCCCTGGGGGGGCTGGGGGACGGGTTGGGCAGGGAGGTATGGAAGAGGGAGCCAGCGGGGCATGGATTGGCCCTTAGCCGAGGCGTGCTGCCCACCCTAGCCAGTACTCGCCATGCTGGGGTGAGCTGGGGAGGGACCGCAGGGCTGGGGCCCTGACTGGTGCCCCACATGGACAGGGTGGAGGTGGACATAGAGAGACTGTGGAGCAGTACCTGGCTAAGGGCTGGACTTCCTCTGGGCAGATGGGATGGGGCACCTGAGGCTGACTGTGTGACCACAGAGGAGATCCGAGTGACCATCTGGAGGAGTCAGGCTGCTCCATGTGGTCAGACATGGGCACATGCATGCCCTCTAGGCCATGAAGACAGGTCAGGAGCACAGGGGATGGAGACCTTGGTCCCACCTGAGGGGATGGATCCTAAGCTCACATCCTTCCCCAGCCCAGAGAGTGAGCCTGGGACCCACACCCCTCCCCATCCAGGCCCAACGTGGCCCTGTCCCCAAGGTCCTTCTCTGCTGGGAGGGCTGGCACTCTTTAAAGAAGGGCCTCCTCGCTCCCCTCCTCTCCTTCCCCTCTTTCC